TTTTCAGAAGGCAGAGAGCGGAAACATCGCAGCGCTCCAAGGAGGTCCTCACTGACTCCTTGTCCGAGAACTCTATGTATGCAAACCTGAAAGAGTTAGTAATTGAGGTTGCAGATAAGCTAGCTCAAAGGTCCAATACAACTTGCAGACAGGATGTTTGGGTGTAACATTTGTCAAAATCCCAGATACTCTTAGAAAACAATAGAGCACCCAGGGAGCTTAAATTCCCCTAAGAGTGTAACCAGCTGGAGCTAGGTATTTGTGTTCTTCCAGCTCAAGAACTCACGTATTAGCTGGCCCACTTCGTTTTTATTAACTGAACCCTATAGGGATATATGTGCAACCCCCAAGACGTACCAATACTAAAGGCTTAACTTATTTCATCAATTTAAACTGTGATCAAAATGGTCTTAACTTACTTCTCTACTTACCCTTTGGGGTGGCCACTGAATTTGTCACAGAGTATGGTAACACGATTGACTGAACCACAGCCATGAAAGTGTGCCTCCAGCTCTTCGGCTGTTGCACCATAGTCCACCTGATTTGGGGGAGGACAAAAGGGGGAGGCATATTTCACAAGACACGGAACAAACTCCAACGCCCATTTCAAAAAGCTCTCTGCATAGCTTTTAGGCTGGCCCCTCATATACACAAAGAAACATTAAGTCTGGTTCTTAAGGTAAAAATTTACTTTCCACCCCAGAGCCTTCACTGATCATTGACTTTTATGTCCACGAACCCCCCGCTGAGATCTACCACCTATCTTGGAGGGAACCCTTTGAAATTCCACCAAATAAGTGTTTCTCGAGCCTGCCCCCCCCCCCACCTCCCCAAGGCTCAACAGGGCCCTACTACATACATTGCCAACATAGATGGACCGAGCATCAGCCTCCATCTTCTCCTCAATGGACATGATCACTGGGCCAGCTTTGAACAAGAAATAATCAAGAAATGGAATTTTTACTCCACCAATAATCCATGCGGCCTCCACCCCTAAACCACCACCGGTATAGAAACTCAATGAAAGCAGATTCGCAGCTGATGTTCCCGGTCCCCAATACTCTGAACAGTGCCCAGCACACAGCAGGCAACCACTAAATATCCACCGAACGAAACGGCTACAACCCTGAGAACAGCATCGTAAATCCCAGCCCATGATTCAGGTGTACAGCTTTGGTTTAAGTCCCTTGAAATGCGAACAAAATTAAGGGGGCCAAGGCACTACGGTAAAGCCCCCCTGTGGCTGGGCGGTCTTTCTTAGAGACTCCGTGAACTGCAGGGTCTCTAACTCAGAGAAGACAATTTACACTTGAAGGTCAACTACTGCAACCTCCTCCAGGAACAGCCGAGGAAAGGGGACAAAGAAGAACACATTTTGGACGGGGACAAAGGAAGTCGAGCCTGCCATCGCCACCCCGTGGGTTCTGTCCCAGAGGCCGGAGGCAGGCACGCACGCCTCGGGGCGCGCGGAGGGACCGGCCCCGCAGTCGCTCAGAGGGCAGCTCCGGGGCCCGGGGGCGCCTCGGTCCCCTCGTCCCCGGACTCGCTGCACGCTGGCCGGCGCGAGGAGTCGGGGCCCGCGTGCCAGCGCCGGTTACTCACCATTGCCCGGCGGCGGGCTCATGTTCATCTGCTTCTCCACTTCGTTCTGCAGCTCCTTGAGCTTCTCGGCTTCTTCCTCCATCTCCCGGACTCGGGCTTTGATCGCTTCCAGCTCCTACGACGAGCGCGGAGGGCGATGGGGAAGGGCTTCAGAGGAACCGGGCCAGGGGCCGTGCCCCGCTCCGCGGCACGCGCGCGGCCCCAGCCACCCCCGCCCCGCGCGGGGGGCGCGGCGGAAAGGAGGGCGGGCTGCCTTCTCTCC